CCCCCCTTTCCCGGCACCCCCCCCCCCCCTCCCCTCCCCTCCCCGCCAGCCCGCCCCCTTCCTGACAACGCGCACACATCCACGCACCCCTGAGACTAACCATCGCGTTTCTATGGTGATCATTCGTCTAGGTGCCTTCACGGAGCCAAATGCTCGCCGTCGTCCAACTTCCTGGACTTTGCGTGCACGTGCACGGTCGGCTACACGGGCCGACTCTGCGACGAAGACGTGGACGAGTGCATTGTCACGTCGCCCTGCAGAAACGGAGCCACCTGCCGCAACACCAATGGATCGTACCATTGCGTCTGTGCCAAGGGCTACGAGGGCCGCGACTGCATCATCAACACCGACGATTGCGCCTCTTGTACGTCCCATTATCAACATTATTGATAATTAATATTTTCTACCGCGTCTCGACGCACCTCGAGTTCGCCTTATTGACAGCACTCTGCGAACCACTTTTGGCACTTTTGGATATAATAATTAACGTAAAAAAAAAAAAATGATGGTGAATATCGTGAGGAATTGTGAAGGGATTATAAAGTCGTTATATCGATGAATAAAGGTTTATTGATTTTCACTTTAATAAACACATTAATGATACTTTTAACATTTAACGATGGCATTATTATGGGATAAGAACGAATCGAGGCGTGTGGACGGACTTTTCAATTAATTATTCTCGCGGAACTATTTATTAGGCCGCGTAATACAAGACTGATGGTATGAGCGAATGAAAATGATATCTATTTGCTCTCTCTCTCTCTCTCTCTCTCTCTCTCTCTCTCTCTCTCTCTCTATTGCCAACGTTACATAATAGAGTTGTTTTTTATTTGACCACGTCGGAGAACGGGGAATTTGCGCGTAATATAGAGAAAGGGCCGAAAGGGCGATCGAGTCGCTGCAATAATGACGAGCGTAAAACGGTGATGTGTCACGCGCTCGATAAAGGTCCCAGTTAGAGCGACGTGACCTCGAGCTTAATCTTAATAATAATTCGTCGTTTCAATCGATAGATCCCTGCCAAAATGGCGGCACGTGCCTCGACGGTATCGGCGACTACACGTGCCTCTGCGTCGACGGCTTCAGCGGCAAGCACTGCGAGGTCGACGTGGACGAGTGTCTCTCTTCGCCCTGCCAGAATGGCGCCATCTGCAAGGAATACGTCAACTCGTACACGTGCCAGTGCAAGCTCGGTTTCTCCGGCATCAACTGCCAGACGAACGACGAAGACTGCACCGAGTCCTCGTGCATGAACAGCGGCAGCTGTATCGACGGCATCAACAACTACACCTGCGTTTGCCGACCCGGTTACACGGGCTCCAACTGTCAGTACCGCATCAACGAGTGCGACAGCAATCCCTGCGAGAACGGGGCGACCTGCCACGATCACGTCCAGTATTACACGTGCCACTGCCCTTACGGCTTCACCGGCGAACGCTGCGAGAGCTACGTCGAGTGGTGCGCCGAGTCGCCCTGCGAGAACCAGGCCACTTGCCTCCAGCAGCGCAACAAGTACGAGTGCAGATGCTCGCCCGGATGGACGGGCAAGGTCTGCGACGTGGAGATGGTCTCGTGCAAGGACGCGGCGCTTCGCAAAAAGGTGTCGGAGAAGTGGCTCTGTAACAACGGCACCTGCAAGGACATCGGGAACAGCCACAGCTGCCTCTGCAACGAGGGCTACACGGGCAGCTACTGCCAGACGGAGATCAACGAGTGCGACACGGCTCCGTGCCAGAACGGCGCCACTTGCAAGGACCTCGTAGGCTCCTACCAGTGCGACTGCACCAAGGGCTTCCAGGGCCAGAACTGCGAGCTGAACGTCGACGACTGCAGTCTCAATCCGTGCCAGAACGGCGGCACCTGCCACGATCTCGTCAGCAACTTCAGCTGCTCCTGCCCGTCCGGCACCCTCGGCTACATTTGCGAGATCAACCTCGACGACTGCGTGGTCGATGCCTGCCACAATAACGGCACCTGCGTCGACAAGGTCGGCGGCTTCGAGTGCAAGTGCCCGCCGGGCTTCGTGGGGCCGCGCTGCGAGGGCGACATCAACGAGTGCTTGTCGAACCCGTGCGCCGCCCCCGGCACCCAAGACTGCGTCCAGCTCGTCAACAATTATCACTGCAACTGCAAGCCCGGCTATATGGGCAGGCACTGCGAGGTAGAGGTCAACTTTTGCGACAGCTCGCCCTGCCAGAACGGCGGCATCTGCACGGCCGAGAAGGCCGGCCATACCTGCGTCTGCCCGAGCGACTATTACGGGCACAATTGCGAGTTCTCCGGCTCGTACTGCGACGCGGAGCCCTGCCTCAACGGGGGCTCGTGTCGCGTGACCGACAGCAGCGTCGGCTATCGGTGCCATTGTCCACCCGGCACCGCGGGCACCCACTGCGAGATAGACGCGCGCGACGAATGCCTGAGCAATCCCTGCCAACAGCCCGACGCCATGTGCGAAAATCTCCTCGGTGACTACGCCTGTTACTGCCCGCCAAAATGGACCGGCAAGAACTGCGATATCTACGACCCGAGCTACCGGGGCGGCGTCTTCGGGCGCAGAAAACCCTCCAGCACCAGCATCATGAACGCCTATGACCTCGACCTCGAGCGTGAGCGCAAAAAGTGCATGGAGAACAAGTGCGAGGAGAAGTCGGGCAATCACAGGTGCGACGAGGAGTGCAATCGTTACGCCTGCAACTTCGATGGCAACGACTGCTCCCTCGGCATCAATCCCTGGAGGAACTGCACCGCGCCCATCAACTGCTGGGACGTCTTCATGAACGGCGTCTGCGACGAGGTCTGCAATAACGCCCAGTGCCTCTTTGACGGCCGCGACTGCGAGAAGAGGCTCGAGCCTTGCAAGTGAGTACTCAAGCGATCCCCGTACCAGCTAACCCCCTCCCCCCGCCGCCCTTTCGACCGCCCGCTACACGTTCCATTATCCCATCAAAATGTACCATTGTTATAATTCGATAATCATCGGATCGAATCGAAAGACAGGAGGAGGATTATAACTCGTATGTTTACACGCCCGCAGCCCCATCTACGACGCCTACTGCCGCAAGCACTACGCCAACGGCTATTGCGACTACGGATGCAACAACGAGGAGTGCAACTGGGACGGCCTCGATTGCGATCGCGCCCCGCCCTCGCTTGCCGAGGGCGTCATCTCCGTGGTCGTGCGTATGGACATGCAGAGCTTCCGCACGAACGTCGTCGCGTTCCTCCGTGACATTGGCCACGAGCTGCGCACGACCTTGCGGGTGAAGCAGGACGAGCTCGGCCAGGACATGATCTACCCGTGGAAGAGGGACCGCGAGCCGAGCATACAGACCAACTTCTTCGGCAGGCCGACCAACATTTACACGGATAAGCAGACGGGCATCGTCGCGTACCTCGAAATCGACAATCGCAAGTGTACGGTGACGCAGGGCGCCGTCTGCTTCCCTACGGCGAACGAGGCCGCCGAGTACCTCGCGGCCACCGCCTCCAAGCACTCGCTCTCCCGCAACTTCCCGATCGAGAAGGTCGAGAGCGTC